CTGGGGCTGTAGCTCAGTGGTGGAGCACCTGCCTCACACATGTGAGGTACTGGGTTCGATCCTCAGCACCACATAATAATAAATAAAGATATTTTTTAAAGGGTATATAATGGGGGCTGGGACTGTGGCTCAGTGGTAGAGCACTTGCCTAGCACGTRTGAGGCACTGGGTTGGATTCTCAGCACCACATATAAATAAATGAATGAAATAAAGGTCCATCAAAATCTAAAAATAGGGCTCAGGCTGTGGCTCAGTGGTTGAGTGCTTGTCTAGCACATGCAAGGCGCTGGGTTTGATCCTCAACACCACATAAAAATAAAAACAAATAAAAATAAAGGTATTGTATCCAACTATAACACCAAAAAATTTTTTAAAAAACTAAAAAAATATATATTTTTTAGAAAAAGAGTACATAATGTCTATCTGGAATTTGCTTCAAAATAATCCAGGAAGAGAGGAAGTGGGTGGAGGTATAGATAATTGGTCATACATTAAAAAACCTTTGAACCATGCTGGGAGTATAGTTTAGTGATAGACCATGTGTTGTGTTAGCATGTTCAAAACCCCAGGTTCAATCCCCAACACTAAAAAGTTGAGGGGAAAAAAAACCCAAAAACCTGTTATACCTGGGTGAAAGTTTCATGGGGACTCATTATATTCTAATTTTAAATGTTTGAAATTTTCTTAATAAAATTAATATGTGCTAGCTTAGTTATTTGTATCTGTAATTCCAATTTACTCTTGAGTTTGAGGCAAAAGGATTATAAATTTGAGGCCCGCCTAGCCAACTTACCAAGCCCTTGTCTCAAAAGAAAAAATAAAAAGAGATGGGGATATAGTTCAGTACAGCAGCATTGGGTCCAATCCCCAGTACCACAAAAAGAAAAAAAAWTTAAATAATAAAAAGGTCTGGGGATATAGCTCAGAGGTAGCTTGCCCCTGGGTTCAATGTCCAGTATTACATACATACATACATACATATTAAAAATCTCAGTTTCTATGGATCAGGAATTGAGAGCAGCTTGAGTCTACAAGTTCAAAGCCAGACTGGACAACATAATGAGACCTCAATCTCAAAAGAAAATCAATGAGAAAAAAATAATGAATTGATAAAGACAGCATGTTACCTCACAATTCAGTGAATTAAAACAGCAAACATAAGCCAAGAATGCCTGTAATCAAGCTACTCAGGAGGCTGAGGAAGGAGGATCACAAGTTCAAGAGTGTGATCTAGCCTCTGCAATTTAGTGAGAACTGTCACAAAATTTAAAACAATAGTAAGAAGGACTGGGGATATAGCTCAGTGGTGAGTGCTTCCCTAGAACGTGCAAATCCCTGGGTTCAATCTCCAGTATCAGAAAAAAAAAAAATTGTTAACCTAGTTTCTGTGAATCAGGAATCTGGAGCAGCTTATCTGAGTGCCTCTGGCTCAGGGCATCTCACAAAGCTATGGTCAAGGCATCAACAGGGCTGCCGTCATTTGAAGATCCGCTTCCAAGCTCATTCATGTGGCTGTTGGTTATAGGCCTCAGTTTCTTGCTACATGAATCTCTTTCCAAGCTGTGCATGGTGAGATAGCTGGCTTCTCATGGGAAAAGTGATGCAAGAGAGACAGACAGGCAGAAACCAACCAGAACAGAAGGTTCTGTGTTTTACAACCTGCTCTCAGAAGCAGGTTCTGAGTTTTACAACCTGCTCTGCCATCAGCCTCAGAAACCAACCCTGGTACAGTGAGGGAGGGGAGTGCAAAAAGGTCTGAAAAGCAGAAGATGGGGTCACTGGGAGCCACTTTGGAGACAGGCTATCATTGTGTATAAGACAAAAACTGAATGTTGCCAAAAGTGTCCTTGAAAATCCCACCTAAAAATCTATAAAGTTTGGTAGGCCGATACAAAATTCATAAAGCCCAGCATTGCCAGTTTTTTCTACAGAGCTGGAACACATTGTTGCATGCTAGATGAAGTTGTTGGTTTGAGTTAGGGACAGTGGTTGTTCTAAAAAGAAATCTACCTAAAAACTAAGATCACATTTGACCCCAACCTGAGCGCATGTGGTCCAGTTCAAGTAAATGACATGAGATGTGATGAGATTTTAATGTACTGGTGAAATATATTATCACGTCTGGATGAAGTTCATTTAGCTGACTCTCCTTGTTTTGACTCCACGGAGCTTTCCAATTACAATGTAACTTTCCAGACAGATAAATGTGAAGAAATTGCTCTAATCTAATGTACTCCATGGTGCTGTGATTTAAATGTCCCCTTCAAAACTCATGTTGAAATTTGATTGCAGTTGTGGCAGTATGAAGATGCAGGACTTTATGCTGGATGTAGCTTAAGTGGTAGAGTACTTACCTACAATGTTCAAGACCCTGGGTTCAACCCCCAATACCACCACCACCAAAACAAAACAAACAAACTCACTATGTCATAGGGGCACTGCCCTCAGGAACAGATTAAGGTTATTCTTCAGAGAATATGTGTTATTTCTACCCCCTCTTATGCTCCCTGACCATGTAATGACTTCTGTCATTTTATGATGCAGCAAGAAGACCTTCACTGCTGGGCATGGTATCACACACCTGTAATCTCAGAAATTCAGGAAGCTGAGGCAGGAGGATCATACGTTTGAGGCCATCCTCAGCAACTGAGATACTGTCTCAAAATAAAAAATAAAAAAGACAGGGGATATAGCTTAATGGTAGAGCACCCTGGGTTCAATCCCCAGTATTGAAAATAAACTAATTAATTAATTAGGATAAAAAGGAAGAAGACCCTCCCCAGATGGTAGCACCTTGATATTAAACTTCCCATTCTCTAGAACCATAAGTCAAAAAAATTTCTATTCTTTCTAAACTACCCAGTCTGTGGTATTCTCTTATAGCATCAGAAAATGGGCTAGTATACATGACTACATTTCTTATTTRTAAAATAACAAATTGGCATTTTGACTTTACCTATCATTCTCTGTGCACTAAGTTAATGTGTGTCTGCATCTGAGAGATGGCTTAATTCCTGGTGTATTTGCATAATAGGGTTCCTGAGACCCTACCCCTAAGACTGTGAACTTTGATGAATCTACCCAAGTAATGCCACCCTAGGGGGAATTAAGCCATCTAAGTGGCCTGAAAACCTTCCTGGGTGTGGCAGCTCTGTGTTGTACATAGAACATACCCATGTGCTCTTAGACATTTCTCTACTCCTTTGCTATTAGATGGGCCTATGTGACCAGTCCTAGTCAACAGTTTGTGAACATAACTGACACCTATCACTTCTGATCCAAAGCACAGTGAGGTTCTATACCACCTCTCCTCCTGATGCAGCAAACAGGAGACCAGATGGCAGAATGAAAAAGTCTGACCGGGTTGCTGCATGATATAAGGAGCAGAACCACTCCTGACCTATAGTAGATAAGTGAGAGGAAATTAATGTTTGCTATTTTAGCTGCCGTGATTTTTTCCATATTTTTATTGGTGAATTATAATTATACATAATGATGGAATTCATTGTTTCTAGCCACTATGATTTTGTATATATTTCAGACTTTGGCACAGCCTAACCTACTTCAATACAGCAGGGGATGCCAACTTGCTGGAATCACTTTTTTCAGCCAATGGCTAGGATATATTTCTAAGGCTCTCCCTCCATGTTCTCTTATGTTCCTTCTTGGGAAGATCAGGTAGGTTAAGGTAAAAAGAAGTGGAAGAGGCAGGAAAAAACTTGGCTGGAACTAGTGTTTAAAAGCACTCTCAAACCTTCTGCTCATATTAGCAGAAAACTCATTGCACACATATGCTAATCCTAGAGGCTCTGTATTCTAAAGACATCATTTCCTTTCCTGTTTTTTGCAGTTCTGATTATTGACCCAAGGGGGTGCTCTACCACTGACCTATGTCCCAGCCTTTTAGTTTTTTGTTGTTTTTTAAATTGGTGGTTCTTCTTCTTCCCCCCTCCCCCTCCCCCTCCCTCTCTCCCTTTTCCTCCTCCTCCTCCTCCTCCTCCTCCTCCTCCTCCTCCTCCTCTTCCTCTTCTTCTTCTTCTTCTTCTTCTTCTGTATGTGTAGAGGGGGAGGGGGTCTTCTTATTTATACATGATAATAGAATCCATTTAATAAAATTATACAAGTGTGGAATATATATTATTCTAATTAGGATCCCACGATGGTGGGATTCACTTAGGTATTTATTATTTTGAGACAGGGGCTTGCTAAATTGTGGAAGCTGCCCTGAAACATGAGACCTTCTTGCCTCAGTCACTTAAGCAGCTGGGATTACAAGCATGTGCCGCCACACCTGGCTTCATTTCCACTTGTCTATTCTTTCAGATATGCCCATCCTGCCCTGTCCCTGCTTCTCAGGCTGCTGCTACATTATGTACTTACGGTCACAGTCAACCTTCAGAGGCTCAGTAAATACAGTAAGCATGATCTGTTGTGCTGACTATTCTGRCTCAACTGTACATTGCTACATGGATAATTTTTTTTTTAAATGACTTCCAAAAATGGATACATGGTTTGAAATATATGCAGATACAGAGTCTTGTGCTACCAATAGCAACTTTGCAAAAAACAATTCAGAGGGGGCTGGGGATGTGGCTCAGTGGTAGAGAAGCTGCCTGGCATGTATTAGACCCTGGGTTCCATCTCCAGCAACCCCCCGCCCCCACCAAAAAAAAATTCAGAGTTCTCTCAGTAACTGTTTCCCAAAAATATCTATTAAAAATTAGCCTATATAAATTAGAATAAGAATTTTAAAAAAATAAGAAAAAAAAAGCATACATTTGAGAGAGCAGATTCAGGCTCTTTCAACTACGGATTTATATAAAATTCTTCATATATTTCAGTCTCAGATTGGAAAAACTTCATACATCATGAAAACCCTGCAGTGATTCTTGCTCTTGGAATCATGATCCATGGCTATGTCATGATAAGTTGTGAGGCATGTGAGAGGCCAGGGGTCACTCATTAAGCTGAGACATGAAAGCTGGGAAATTATTTATTTTTATTGCCAATCAAAAGAGACATAAGATTAATGCAACAATAAATTCACTCTTTAATGCAATTAAGGTGAAAAACTAGGGACTTTACAGGGACATAACTAATCAGCCTGTGGTTCTTGAAATGGCTAAGAATTGGCATCAGTGTTAAACACTTGAAACAATTCAAAACATTCCCCATCCCAAAATCAACTCTAGGTATTCAATATTATAGATTTAACTGAATATGAAGTTATGTTAAAACATTTTATTAAGAGAAGAATCCCTTTTAAGTTATCACTCTAAGGTCACATATCAAAAAAGATTAGCCAAGCACTGTGGCACATGCCTATAATCCCAGCCATTTGGGAGGCTGTGGCAGGAAAACCACAAGTTTGAAGCCTCCCTTGGCAACTTAGTGAGACTTTGCTTCAAAGTCAAAAATCAAAAAGGGTTGGGGATGTAGGTTAGTGATAGGACCCAAATGAGTTCAATCCCTAGTACCAGAAAAAAAGGAAAAATTAAAAGATTTCATTACTTTTAGTGTGTAATTTTACAATGACAGGAATATACATTTTTTTGTTTTAATTTTTGGTTATGTCCTAATTTTTAGTTATTGTACTTGAGGGCAGCAATGAAGTGAACGATTTTTATATACATTAGAGTTACTTCCATTCTTATCCCGACACATGAGCTATTTTTCACTTTGCTATCTTCACAACCCATGCTTGTGCACATAAATTCATATTCTCCATATTCACAGCATAACATTGCAAACATTTTATAGCCTACTGTACTTTTTCTTAGTGTTCTACCATGAAATAGTTTTCTAACTCCACATAGTTATTGAGCCTTTAAAATGGCTGCAAAAGGTACTCACACCTAAGTTTAAATGGTTTAATTTCACTTCTACTAAATGTATTTCTCATTCTTTGATGTGTAGTTATAATCAAAATGAGTGACATTATTTTTTGCTACTCATTATTTACATTTCAAATACACTCAGTTCAAACGCCATTAGTTAATTAGTCTGGAAGCATTACTAAATTTCCATCAACATGTCTTATCTTCCTAACATGAGGATTAATTAAGTGGACTACCATGCTAATTTGCTAAAGGCAGCCATTCTATTTCCTTACATGGAAACAATGGTTTGTTGTTATAGATAGCAGCATTACAGCACAAGTATCTAGGCTGTCAGTGTGCCCTCCAGGACAAGGGCAGCACCACCCTTAATGTCAATTCTTCCTTCAGGTCGCAGTGAAATGAACAGTTCTCCTCCTCGAGGGGAACACTGAAATGCTAAAAAAATAAAATAAAATGAGTCACAAATTATGAACACTTTCACACTCTGTATTAACAGAAGATAACGAAAGACCTCTTATTATAAACCCTGGAGTTGAAGACTTGGTGGCACATGCATGTAATCCCAGTGACTCAGGAGGCTGAGGCAGGAGGCTCATGAGTTTGAAGCCAGCTTCAGCAATTTAGCAAGGCCCTAAGCAACTCAGTGAGACCCTGTCTCTAAATAAAATATAAAAAAGGCTGGGAATGTGACACAATGGTTAAATGCCCTGGGTTCAATCCCTGGTACCAAAAAATATATAAAAAAATAAAAATTTATACAGAAAATAATAAACCCCAGAGTCCTCCCAAGTCAGTTTAAAATATAAATTTCTTCATCTAGGGGTTGGGGTTGTGGCTCAGTGGTAGAGCGATTGCCTAGCACATATGAGGCACTGGGTTCAATCCTCAGCACCATATAAAAATAAATAAATAGAATAAAGTATCGTGTCCATCTACAACTACAGAATTAAAAAAAAAATCCTTCATCTATTCATGGCATTGTCCACCTCCCCTCCCTTCTCTTGAAGATTGAGAGGGACATAAACATAATTTGATGTACAAAACATACAACCATGCCTCTTCCYTTCCTGGGCCTTTTCCTGCACCACTTCCTCTAGTGTTTCCCGTAATGCCCCAGCTACACTCAACACTTAGCTTTCTCTAGGTGTAAGCAAGGATGTGTGAAAAGCAAGAGGCATGGACCAGCAGTCTAAGAAGATGAAGAGGGGTGGTCTTGGCCCTCCTGAGAAGGCCCCATCTTCTCATTCTAAAGAGGACAGAGGGAGTTCATTCAATCATAACATATTCAAGCAACCACATGTGCCATGGCAGACAAAAGAGCATGGCCTTAGCCTTCCAGGGGCTCAGTGCTTAGGAGAATAATTAGACTCACCAAGGAAAGAGAAGAGCTACCTTGCTATCCACTAGGATCACAGAGGCCTAATCCTCCCACTAAGTCAGACCTGCATCCTTTGGGGTTAGAGTCCTGCTTTGATGATCAGAACATGCAGCCTCCATTGGCTTTAGCCCTGAGCAATATATCATCACCAGGGGATTTGGTTCAAGAGCAATTTCGATTAATCCTGTGACTAACAATAAGATGTAAGTTAACCTTAGTCATCATCCAGTCTCAATCTATCACATTATGAATAACTTCTCTGAGCCAAAGTTATACAGCAATTTAATTCTATTCAACAAAAACTTATTGGGCATTTATTGTGTCAGGAGTATTTGTGTATTGGGGGAAGCAGAGGTGGAGGACGTTTGAGGTGGTAGATATTTAAGAATATTTAGGGATATTTCACATGGAAGAGCCTTAACACCTCACTACATTTTCAAGGGGATAGTGCATATGTGAAGGAACACTAGCTTAAAGTTAGACAAAGAGATGTCTTACCATGCATTTCTTGCTTCCCCAGCTGCTGGGACCAGTAGCTGCCGAGAACAGTGTGTGCAGACCCTGAATAGAGATGAAATATTATAACAATCCCAAAGGAAACAGGGGTGACTTCACAGTAAATTTATAAGCATTTACAATTAATTGTAGCTTGAGTAACCTTAGGTCATTTAATCTTTATATTGACCAGGCCRCAGCAGAATGTGGAATTATGAATGGAGATAGAAAGGAACACACAGAATTTACTAATAAGCTCCTCCAAATCATATATCAAATCTGCCTTACTGTTTCTGAAGACTGAATTAGACTTTGGGTTTTATTATTTATTTATTTAATTTTTTAAATTTTTTTTTTAATTTTTTGTACCAGAGATTAAAAGCAGAGGCACTTAACCACTAAGCCACATTCCTTACTTAGCCCTTTTTATTTTTTTAAATTTTGAGACAGAGTCTTGCTAAGTTGTTTAGGGCCTTGCTAAGTTGATGACACTGGTCTTGAACTTTCAATCCCCCTGTCTTAGCTTCCTGAGTCACTGAAGTTACAGGTATGTGCCATCACTCCTGGCTGCTGGTTTTAATTCTTATCTATCAGTTTTCTATCAGCTCTTGGTAGGAAAACCAGGCCTTCACATAAATATTTCTACATCTTTCCAGGAAAGTATCTTCTTCCTCTTAGAGTCCATATTCAAGGAAAGTGGGGAGTTCTGACCAAAAAGCCAATTTTTTTTTTCTCTAAGCAAATATTCTTGGGCTTTGGAGGTCAAAAGAAATTTTCTTTAGAGTCAAATATTTTTTTTTCAAAAGATCAGAGATTGGATATAAAAATGAAGAAACAAAATGTGAAGTCATCACTAACAGAAAAGTCTTTGGAGGAGAAAAGAATGAAATGTTCCCTGCTTCAGGAAAACTTACTGTTAGGGAATATAAGTAGGGAGACCGACTGTCCTGGTTTGCCCAAGATTAACCTGCTTTAGCACGGGAATTCCACATTCCAAAAAACCCTTAAGTTCCCAAGAAAACCTCAAAACTTGGTCATCATGATCTAAAAACCTTCCCACTCTAGGAAAAAAAAAAAAAACATAATGAGGGAAGGGTGAGGACACGTGTTCTTTGTGCCAATTAAAATCTTTGGAAAGCAGCTGTGCATGTGGAAATCTTCTCAGAAATTCTCTTCCATGGGGAGAGGTTACATTGGACTGTTTCAATGTTGTTGGGCATTTTCCTGAGTCTTCAAAAGTGCTTGTTTGCTGAGCTTTGAATTTCACATGTTTTGTTCCTCAGAGAGTAACTCAGTCAAAGTCCTGAACCAGCCTGGTCTTTACCATCTGACCAGAATGGGAACCACAAAGTCTCTACCCAGCCTCCTCCAGCCTCATCCCACCCAGAAACCTGCTCCATCAAGCATCCCCACCCTTGCTGCTCAGCCTACTATTCTTAAAGAGGATGGAAATGGGACACAGCCTGGGTGTGGTGGCATATGCCTGTAATCCCAGCAACTCAGGAGGCTGAGATAGGAGGATTGCAAATTTGAGCCCAGCCTGGGCAATTTATCAAGGCCCTCAGCAACTTAATGAGACCTTGTCTCAAAATTTAAAAAAGAAATGAAAAGGGCTGGTAAGTAGTTCAGTGACCCTGGGTTCAATCTCCAGTAGAAAGAAAGAGGTTTGACATTCCTACCCATCTCGGATTTCATCCCTTTGCATCAGGCTAGTGGGATACCTGGAGATATTGGCTCAGGAGATCCAGTTTCTGGTTATGAAAACAGTAGTTGTTGCATACTGACCGTGTGCCAGGCACTGTACTAAGCACTGAACATGCATCATGTTTACATAATCATGGGAAGTATCATCCACATTTTATAGAGGAGGAAACTGAGATTTTAAAAATGTTGTTACCTGCCCAAGGTCAAGAAACAGGAAGCTAGCCATGCAAACCCAGGCTGTTGTCACCACAGTTGGACCCTGTAATATCTCCTTTATAGTGTGTTTGTCACATGAGATTTCAGTGAGAGGATGGAGGGGCAAGGAGAAAGAGAGAAACAAAAGCAGCTCAGAGACACATTTCTTTTTTTTTTTCCCTCACATCATCATACATGTATTTAGTATAACGACAAGGGTCTCCTTCCATCTTCCGTGCAATTCCCCTTCTCCCTCCCATTCCCTCCCACCTCTCTTCTTAGATTGGGTAGAGAGAGGTGATGGGAGGGGAGGGCATGGGAAGGGGGGATAGGAAGGGCAACAGAATAAAATAGATACTAGTATTGCTGTTATGTATAAACGTGGCTGTATAACCAATGTGATTCTGCAACCTGTACACTTGGAAAAATGAGAAATTATACCCCATTTGATTCAAATGTATGATATGTCAAGATCATTGTATTGTCATGAGCAACTAATTAAAAAAAGGCAGCTCAGGGACTGGGGCTGGGGCTTAGCGGTAGTGCACTTTGCCTGGCATGTGTGAAGCACTGGGTTCGAGTCTCGACATCAATTATACATAAATAAAATAAAGGTGTATCAACAACTAAAAAAACATTTTAAAAAAGAAGCTCAGAACCAAGGAAACCTGAAAGGTGACATGAAGGATACTTAAATAGCTACATGTGTCCTCCTGTTTCATGTTTAACCCTCCCCTGGACTTAAGGAAAAAGTACCTGTTACAGGATCTTCAGCCACACCAACCCATGGTGCAAAATATCTGGAGTAAAAATCAAATGCTTGGGTCTGCCCGACAGCCTCTCCTTTTAGGGTAAGAATGAGTCCTCGCACCTTCCCTGTGTTTTCAACTTGCAGCAGGTTCTCCGTTTTCACTTTCAGAGTCTCCAGAAATGACCTTGTTCATAAAAGGATGGATTAGGGAAAACCCATTTCACAGACCTCCCCACTACACAGAATGTGTAACAGGCCCGGGGAAGCTTGCCCAGACAGCTCAGCAGGAGAGGACGGAAGGGCCAGTGGTAGTATCTCTCTAGAAAGAACCTGGTCACAAGAGTCATGGTTTGACAGGACACAGCACAGACAGACCAAGCCAGCAGGTGCTCAGCCCTCCTCATAGTGCTGACACAGCTAACGATCACATTTACCTTTCATAAGAATCACTGAGCCGGACAAGGAGTTTCCGGGTATCTGGAGAATAGCGGATATCCTGGACCAGTGTGTTGCCTATGGCCATCTGTGGACATGGACCAAAAACTCCTCAGGAGCACATCTGCAGTCAAGTTCTTGATCACCTCAATGGGGAATGACCTTTCATTGAGCATCTGTTGTGAGCTAGGCAACCCCATGTTCTTCAGTCTCCAAGTGCATTAGCTCACTTTGGGGGCTTAAAGTATTGTTCAAAGATGTCCAGTTTCCTAGCTACCCAAAGGGCCTCTCAGGAGCCACTTAGCTCACCCTCTGCCAGCCTCAAAGTAGGCAAGGCCCACGAGTGGTTACCACATGCCTGAAGGCACAAACTCCTTTCAATGGGTATCTTCCCCACAGAGGAGACTCAGAGAGCCCAGGGTTTCTCTCTCACAGCACACCCATCCTGATCCAGATCTGGAGTTGAAGCTCTGAACCCAACTCTTAACTAATAGGGGCTTCATTCTCATCTCTTGGAATTGTTCTTGTGAGTGGCACATAAATAACATATGTAGAGTACCTGCAGCAACAACTAGAACATTCCACATGTTAGAACTCAAGTGGAGACTAGGGAACTTGTCTTGTGCTGCTCTGCTCAGAAGGCACACCACTTACACTTGGGTGGTATGGTACAGATCAGTCACACAACATTTTCTCAAGATACCTGAGTTCACTCTACCTAAGACTACACTTAACCTTGCTCAAACCCAAGAACATTATTTGTTTGTTTGGAAATGGCTTGGTGCTGAGGGAGGTTATGAGGGGACAATTTCCTCTCCAAAAGTCATCCTTTGGGACCACCCCAGCCTCCAGGTGAAGCAGATGATTACATAACTGTCTATGGCCATCCTTAGGTGGCTTTGGCTTCTCTAGGACTGAGCTGCTCAAGCTCCCACAGCCAAGACTCCCTCTGCCTTGGGTGGTACTTGGGCTTTATACCTCAATGGCACAAAGAGGTAGAAACCCTATGGACTGACCAATGGCCCTTCCCAAAGAAACGGGAACTCTGACGGCCAGATCCCATCTGCTCTCTACCCTCAGCAAACTGCCCTTCTCTGCCTGAATTCACACATTGATTTAAAAGTTTATTTCTCGGGGCTGGGGATGTGGCTCAAGCRGTAGCGCGCTSGCCTGGCATGCGTGCGGCCCGGGTTCGATTCTCAGCACCACATACMAACAAAGATGTTGTGTCCGCCAATAACTAAAAAATAAATATTAAAATTCTCTCTCTCTCTTTTAAAAAAAATAAATAAAAATAAAAGTTTATTTCTCAGCTGGGAATCTGAATACCARTTTCTAGGAAGGAACACAAAATAACACGCTCATGACAAAAGGACCTTTATTATCCTATTTTACAAATGCTGACTCTGAGGCTTAGAGAGACCAGGTGAAGTTTTTTCTTTCATGAACAAGGTTGACCATGATGAATATTTTCCAGGTTCTCACTAATGTGAATAAAGCAATTAATTTATAAATTTGGCTTATCTAKCTCCTGAAACTCAAGCCATGGGTGAAGCTGGGTATAAAATCAGAATCCATGATACTCAATTATACTCTTTGAAAACTTAGATGAAACAAAAYACTAAAGATATTATAAATGCTCTAGTTGTAAATTCATTGAGAAACACTCCAATGGAACCCACAATAGACCATTTAACAGAATYATTTACTTCCCTGCACACTAAGCACCTGGGCATCTGGGGCTGCTCTGGCCCCAGAACTACTGTAGGATAATTGTAGTGTCTACCTCACAAGATAATATTCAGAATTATATGAAACAATGCAAGTGAAACACTTAGTCGTGGTATTGCACAGAGGAGGCTCTCAAAAACACTATTATTATATTGTTGTTGTTGTTATTACTCTTATCATTCGACACATGCTCATGGAAGATCCATGAGGGGGCCAGGCTGTGTCTTGTCTTCTCTGGAAGCACCCACACTTTCCTGGTCTCCACCAAAGCACACCCTCCCTCCTCAGTCTCTCTTCCACAAATACTGGAGACACTAACAACTGTCAGGCAGCTTCCATTGTTGTTTGTATGGATTTCTTGGAATGGCCATTTCTGTCAGAAATCCCAACTCTCATATCTGAACTTCTGTGGCCATGCCTCAGGCCCATTTCTATCTTTMTAGCTAGAAATGGATAGAAATTCCACATCCCCTCTTTGTCTAAAGGTTTGTGTTCTCCCAGACACTTAACATCTCCTGAAGATGTCCTACTCTCTTTCTTGCACCTCCTTCAGGTCTTTCTCTCAGTCTGCCCCCACAAGTCTTTCTCTCATCCTGGAAGATAATGCTGATTTTTCTTTTTCTTCAATGCTGGGGATGAAGCCCAGGGCCTTGCACATGCCCGGCAATTGCTCTAAGTGCTCTACCACTGAGCTCCAGCCCCAGCCCTAACACAGACAAAAGTAAAATAGATAAATAAGTAGTCAACTTTCTCACCAAACAGATAGAATATTAAAATTTAAACCTGAAATTACCAAGCACTATTCAGCTAAGATTCCATTAGAACATTTATACTGGTAGAGGACTATCTTTCAGGATCAAATCATATCAAATCTTTGTGTTCAAATGATAATAAATGAATGAATCACATAGGCTCAGATTTGATTCTTTTCACCAACCTTTATCAGGTCCTCTACTTCATGGAAGTCCTAAAAGTGGAAAAAAAAACATAAAATCATTGTAAAATAGACAAGCTGTTGGTTATACATATTTTGTGTCATAATTAAAAAGAGCTGACCTGTGGGTAGGTCGGATAAAGAGGAAAATCCAGGATGATACCATCCTCTGCTCTTCTGGCCTTTAGTTCCCCACTCAGAGTRACAAAGGTTAGCGTGTTATTTGTGTTTTCTGGCCAAAAATAAAAATAAAAAAGAATCAAGAAACAAGAAAATAAACTGTTGTACGTTTGTATATCTATTTCAATCACCTTAGTGTTGTCTTAAGATTTTCTAAATTGCTGAGGCTGGCTTTAAACTTGCAATCCTCCTGCCTCAGCCTCTAAGCCACTGGGATTACAGCACGAGCCACCATGCCTGGCATGTCTTCAGATTTTCTGGCAGTGCTGTCCTTTCCTGTGATGGAGGCTCAGGTCTGAGTTGCTGGGGTCTCAAGTGGAGAAAACCCTCACTGGTTTCTAACTTGAGAACAAGGAATACAACTATTGCAATGTGTCATCATACTGCAAGGCTTTGTAATTTGACTCCTATCTGCTTACTAAATATGCTCTTGAGCAAATTATTTAACTTCCTTAAGCCTCAGTTTTCTCAGCTATAAAATGGGGTTAGAGTTAGGGGTGTGGCTCAGTGGCAGAGCACCTGCCTATGTGCACTAAGCCTTGGGTTTGATCTCCAGCATGGAGGGAAAAATGGGGTAATAAGTAAGTGTACCTGATAGAGCTGCTATCATGTTTCTTTTCTTTTTTTTTCTTTTGTTATCGGGATTGACTCAGGGGTACTTTACCACTAAGCCATATCCCCAGCCCTTTTTATTTTTTGAGACAGTGGATCACTAAGTTGCTGAGGCTGGTCTTGAACTTGTGATCCTCTTGCCTCAGCTTCTCCAGTCACTGGGATAATGTTTTCTAATGCAGATTTTAAAATATCCATCAACGATAACTATAGAATCATAAACTTGATTAGTTTAAGATGTTCTCTCTTTTTTTGCCTTGAAATAACAGATTCATTCTCTTACTGTTCTGAAGGCAGAAGTCTAAAATCAAAGTGTCAGTAGAACCATGTGACCTACAAAGGCTACAGGGAAGAATCCTTGCTTTTTCCATTGTCTGATAAATCCAGTTGTTCCTTAACTTGTTTTGTGTGTGTGTGTGTCRGGGGGAGATGTTGTTGTTGTTGTTTTCTTTTTAGTTACACATAACAGTAGAATCCATTTTGACACAATTATACATACCTGGATTATACCTTATTCTAATTCAGACCTCAGTACCTTTCCTTCCCCTGATCCCTGCTCCCCTCCCTCTATTATCTTTTTACCATTTATCCATAGTTATTATTATTTTTCTAAGTTAATTCCTTGTGGATGTACACAGTGGTGAGATTCACTGGTCATGTATTCATATATGAACATAGGAAATTTATGTCCAATTCATTCTACTGTCTTTCCTGTTCCCCTTCCATTCCCTTTATTCCCCTTTGTCTAATCCAATGAACTTCTATTCTCTGCTCCCCATTATTGTGGATCATATTTAAGATATTCTAAGGAGATGACAAAACAGGTAATTGTGAACAATAGTCTTATGTGCAAACAAATCAAGTTCACCCTAAGTAAACCAAGCTATATATAAAAAAATTGACTTAAAGAATGTACCACAGGGGCTGGGGATGTAGCTCAGTTGATAGAGTGTTTGCCTCATGTGCACAAGGCCCTGGGTTCAACACCACCAAAAAAAAAAAAAAA